AGATAGATAGATAGATAGATAGATAGATAGATAGATAGATAGATAGATGGTACCTGTCGGCCGGTGGGGTGCTGCGTGTTGTTGGTGGAGTCACAGCCTGCGTGGCAGGGGGAATAGTACATCACCCCGTCGGCCCCGCACACCGGGCTGTACTCCTCTCTGGCACAGTTGCAGGCCGCGTTGCAGCCGGATATCAGATCATCGTCCAGAGAGCTGCAGACACGTGAGTAACTCAGTGGTGGAGCACTTTACTGCCTGTTAAAAGGAGGTTTTTCCTTCCCTGTGTCGCCTAGTGCTTGCTCTTGATGGGAATTATTGTTCTTCTGTAAATAAGTTCAGAGTCCGGTCTGACCTGCTCTGTTTGGAAAGCTGGGAGATAATTGTTGTTGTGATGTGGTGCAATAGAAATAAATATAGGAATACAGTAATATAGGAATAAAATTTAGGAATAAATTGAAGTGAATTGATCAATACTGCAGATCAAGAGGTCCCCAGTTCACTTCCCGGTGCCCCCCTACTTTGTAAATCGCTTTAAATAAAAGTGTCTGCTAAATGCATAAACTTAAACATGTTAAAGGAAGGAGGAAAAGGAAGTCCGCTTAAGGTGCGACGTCCCATAACAGACACGTAAGACATCGTAAAACAGAACTTTTCGCATCCAGCTTGTTTTCGTTTTACTGGTCAGATCTCAGATAGGGTTGTGCCGATAATAAAATGTTCAACTCGATACCGATACTCAGGAAAATATTCGATACTTGATACCACAAGGATAAAAACAAAGACCCCAAAATATAACTGAATTTTGACAGGTTAGTGTTTTTGGTTTCAAACTGACCTGTTACTGATGTTATGGTGGCCCACATTAATGAGCCTAACCCTGACCCTCCATCCTAGCCCTAACCCTAACCCTAACCCTTATCCTGACCCTCTATCCTTCATAATTGTGTGAAATAAATTGTATTTGGTTAAACTTGTTTGGACTTATTGTACAAACCTATTTAACATCCACTATTTTAACATAATATTATGTATAGAGTTTAATTCAGTGTTTGCAAGATTAATTTCACTATTTTTAAATTAATCTCTATATTGTCATGAAGCAATTAGGATTTTCTTGCCTGGGATCTTCCTATTGGTGCCCTAATCAAAATGGCCGACTTGGATGTGGGGGAGTTGGATATCCATCCTTGGCTTCCTGCAGTCTGCAGCCAGACGGACTTGATTAATATTGGCGTGTTATTATTAGCCTTTAGCCGCAGCTAGCAATTCAAGGCTAACATCACGTTAATCGATACTTTTGAAAATGAGTATCGTATCCGGATACAACGTTTTAGTCTCAATACTTTTTTGAGTATGGATACTTTTGACAATCCTAATCTCTGAACGACCTTTCTCTCAGTAACAATCGCCTCTAAGGTCTTTTCTGATGTCTTTCCTCCTTGGCGTCGTATTCGGATCTATATTTTTAAAGATTGTTAATTTGTACATTCGGATCTATATTTTTAAAGATTGTATTTTTCAGTTTTATCATTTCTGTCCTATATTTTTATTTCTACATTTTATCTCTTGCTTCTCTTGGAAGTGTCGTGTTGTGCACCAAACACCAAGGCAAATTCCTTGTAAGTCTAAAAACCTACTTGGCAATAATCCTTATTCTGGTTCTGATTCAGATTCTGATTCTAAATACTCATTGGACTGTGACAAGGCAAATTCCTTGTAAGTCTAAAAACCTACTTGGCAATAATCCTTATTCTGATTCTGATTCTGATTTTAAATGCTCGTTGGACTCTGACAAGGCAAATTCCTTGTAAGTCTAAAAACCTACTTGGCAATAAACCTTATTCTGATTCTGATTCTGATTCTAAATACTCGTTGGACTGTGACAAGGCAAATTCCTTGTGAGTCTAAAAACCTACTTGGCAATAAAACTTATTCTGATTATGATTCTGATTACCATACCATACCATACCATACCATACCAGCTTTATTTATAAAGCACTTTAAAACA